GTTTCTTTCCAGATTGTCTGATTGAGCGGTTGGAGGTGTAGGCACCTCAGTATGCTTGACATAGGCCAGCACTAGGTCCTCTCCCTCACCCACTCTTTTTCTCTTCTCTTCTCTGTAGGGCTTTTAATGCATATATATATATATATATATATATATATATATAAACGAACTTTATGGTTGTACGGCAGTGAAGCATCAGTGCCAACACTGATGTTGCTGTCATTGATGATGATGATGATGATGACATTTGAAAAACGCAACGGGCAGTAGCAACGAACAAGCGCATGACCTACGCCACCTGTAGCTAACGGAGATGTGGTCCATCGGTGTTGGTGTTTGACTCTCATTTGAGGGCCACATGTGGCCAAGTGGGTTCGGTTGTCTTGAAAGCTAGTACCGCACAGAAACAGTCTGGTCAGCCCATAAATGCAGCAGGCGTTCACCGTTGTCCGTGTGTCTGTGTGTCTCGGTGCCAGTCTTAAGCGGCCACTCAGTTGAGCCTCAGCAGCGCTAAGCCTACATGCTTGTGCATTAATGCCCACGGCAACCATAAAATTATCTGAGCTTTTAACCCGCCGCAGCAAGGCGCTGGAAGCCTCGTAAAAACTGTCCTTGAGAGCATCAGAGATACAGTCTTCTGTGGGGCGATCAGAATGATATAAAACCCCACAGAACCAGCATCATTGGTTTCTGGATCACTACATGCGTGCAACTGGAAGGGAGTGGACACCGATGGGGAGGTCACTTCAACAACTGCACTTGGATCTTGACTCCTCATTTCAGACAGACGGCCCTTATCAATAGAAAACGAGCCCTGCTTGGTTGTTTGTTGTGTTGAACAACCCTCAGTGCTGCGTATCCTGTGGGCTGGCGGAACATTGTACGTATCACTGAGATGTCAGGCACTAAAATGATGCGTCCAAGCGCTGGCAATCTTTTAGCTTATATTTCGGAAGCTCTTTAAGGGCCAAGCCCATCAGCAGTTGAGAAGCCAACGTTGGGTTTGAACCACGGACATTCCGGGCATCTCCATTCTGTGTACACTCTTCGTCATAAAGCCTTTTCGGTTGCTCTTCGTCTAAAGCCTTTTCGGTTGATTTCCCATATTATAGCCGGACTGCTGGGTAAGACTGTGTTGATAGGACAGTCGTGACCAGTATTATTCAATCTATTAAGTGGGAATAATCAAGTTGCCATGTGTGAGTAGCAAAGATGGTATTTCATCTTGGATAACAGCTTGTCACCACATATGAGCTAAAGGGACTTAAGCCCATGTGTAAATAGTATGGGACATTGGACTAGATCAACACAAATTGCTACGACCAACAGTGCTTTCCTGTGTCCGCCGTCGTGCAAAAGGATAACGCCAAGGTGGTCACTTAGTTCCGGGTGACTATCAGAGTAAGGTGTAATTCCAATTATAATGATTCGTTACATGATCCAGATTTACATAGTGCACTTAGGAAAACCACACAATGATCCTGGGTCTTTTCAGTTGCCGGTTGGCTTGTATGCGGTGCTTGACAACTGGGTTGAGAATTCCTAATCCGATTCGTCTGCCATCAGCATACCACAGCGATTTGACTAATCTTTCCTAACTACGTGTGGCATCCAGACCAATTAACCTTGTTCTTTCTCAAGCATGAATGTTGCTCGCACTCATCACTGATCAGTAATACGGAAACGGTCTTAGTGCATCACTGGCGGTCACATGACTGTTACGCTGATGTAACCTTGTCCATTAATCCAATTTCTGGCTAGTACCACCAAAAGTGGCGCGTAGTGCAATCCTTTGCAGTTGACGGACTTGTGGCCAAGCCGTTTCACAGAGGAACGTTGCCTCATTGGTGCTAATCGACCGCTCGGAGTGCGATGGCTAAAATAGTTCAGCCGAGATGCGGGTTAGAATTTCTATCAGGGATGCTGACCTGCGAACTACTGGTAATTGTCAACATGGGTAGGACAGCCCGGCCTGATTCCAAGTTACTTGGTGAGACGTGGATGCGAATAACTGATTATATCCCAGGAATGAATGACCTCCATATAACTGTTACCGTCTTATTCAGCACTTACTCATCATGTTGTACGCTGAAATTGTGAGAGAAAACCCTGACTTAACTGATGGATGGAAAGTTTCTGTGCCACATACAATTTCTGGAAAAAAAATGCAAATTTATCATCATGATGCTCATTTATTTTTTGTTTGCTGTCTGTATTGTTGGCAGCAGCAACAGCACTCTTAGTAAATGCTAAACACTTGTTCAGTTTTCCGTATGTTTGCCAATCAGCTACCTGTTGGTACTTCGTTTCTATCCTTTCCATTCTCTAACCCTTAACACAAATAGGGCGATATCCGCTGTGGTATCCCTTACCCCCACTTCTCTTCATTACAGAAAAAAGGCTATCATGGATGAGCTTTTCGAACAAAACCGGATAGACCCAACTCACCCGGAGTTTGAGTACGACAAGGAAGTGGACTTTCCGCAGGATAAAGTCGAGACTTGTTTGTGGGATTCTGATGAGTGTGAGCTCTGATTGGCGGAATTTTTCGATGAAATCGGTGTTGATTCTGTCAGCTGTACCAATCTTACGAATTCCGGTTCTGGGGATAGATAAGTTTGATTTATGGCGGGAGCTCCTCAACATTTTATCGGTTTACTATCCATTGGATTCTGCTAAGACTCATGAGAAATGATGTACGGGAAATGATGTATGTGAACTGTATCCCAAAGTCCTTCTTGTTTAGAGACCGCATGAAAATGGCATTTCTGTGAATTGGATACAACTTCTCAATCTTAATAAACAAATGTATACAGACGCTATTTTCGTTCTCGTTGCTCAGTTTCCCTGGGTATCTGGATGAATCGTGTACATAGGTCATCCTCCCATCCTCGGTGGCTTCGTTTGATCAGATTTTGACTCAGATTTGCTGCCCAAACTTTGGCCGCTTTCTTGAGTTAAAGGATGTCTTGCATGTCTTTCTGATTGCAATATGAGGCTGTCTTTGTGCAGAACGTTCCACTGGGAGATTCAGGTGAGTTTCACGAGGACACCAGCTTCATTCGTAAACGAGTGTACAACCCTAGTGATACATAATTTGGCGTCCAAGAAAGACGTTAGGAAGATGAAAAAGATAAAACATACCGTTGGCTGCCGAAATGTTCTTACCAGCCATGTAAGTCGTGTTGTACCAACAACATACCATCCTGATCTCAAATTTGTTAAGGGCCTCGTAACAAATACAGTACTGTACTCGAGTAAACACTATCGGGAGTTGTCAAAGTATTTCATCAACGGGTATGCTTCTTCACAGGCTTTCTGTGCAGAGGTAATGAAATCGCATTTGTATCTGGATGATTTTCAATAGATTTCATAAGGTTGGATTGGAATTTTCCGTTTTACTCGAAGTGACTGCCCCAGCCATCCGTGATGCACCTGTGTGGCGGGTGTCGGTAGCTAGTGCTTTTTATCCAGCAACACTTAAATAAAAATTGTCAAGCAAGCTATCGCGGAGACTGATTACTTTATAACAACGAAAAGCATGATGAGTATTTGGAAATCAACAGCTGGAGTAGTTGAATAAGTCCATGGTTCCGAAAGTAATAAGCGGAAATATCACCTATTCAGGAAAGCTATAGCGGAGCAACTCATGTTTTGAGACGAAGTGATCCAAAGCGACCGGCGAAACTTGATACGGCACCCACGGTTGGCTTTGAGTATTCATTGAGTTTACTTCCCCCTGTTTGATGCTGTAATATCATTTACCTCGTGTAGATCCTGTTTACGTTTTTGATTGTACCATTCACAAATAAACCGAAAACTGTCTCGCGCTTTGATCACTATAAATGAAGTTATAGTCAGAAATATAGGAAATGAGATCGTTTAACCGTGGTACCCTTTCGGTGCCGAACCGCCATCCCACCCGAAGGAAGCACGAGGGCTAGAATACTGCCAGGTTTCCAAGCCTGGACAGGTAAGTCGAGAGGAAGAGATCGGGTTCGAACCACGGACCTTCCGGTCTGTAAATTCGCGCTCTAGCCTTTGAGCCATTTCAACCCAGAGATATAGGGGCTCCGGTGATTTTGTTTTAGGGCGTATAATTCGGCCATCTACAGCGTCTTCGGTGTCTGGAGCTGTGGCGGCTAGAACGCTTTCCATCCATCCGAAACTTAGCCCTTAGTACAAAGTGACTATGTGAACAAGCCGATTGATGCGTAATAGGCAAGCCCGGTTTGCCAAGCTCTTCGTATGGGAGAACTGGAGCTGTGGCGACTAGAACGCTTTCCATCCATCCGAAATTTAGCCCTTAGTACAAAGTGATTATGTGATCAAGCCGATTGATGCGTAATAGGGAATCCCGGTTTGCCAAGCTCTTCGTATGGGAGATTTCGGTAGTGCTAGTTATATCTCTAAACAGTTTCATCATCTTAGAATAACGTTTAAAACAAGACACCAATGAAAGTACCTGCTAAGCCCGAATTAATCAGTTACTAGACAAGGATTGTACTTGGAGAAGCACGAACTCGCTGCCAATGTATCGAATTTATTGTGCGCCTTTCGGTTACTCCGTATCTCAGGTCCTAAAAATTAATGTACATCTTGCGACGCAAGTGTAGTATTACACGCTCTCCTCATAGCAGAATTGGTCAGTGGGTGAATAATACGGCCAATAAACGGACTAAACACATATATCTGCGGAAAATGCTTTAAATAAGAGAAGAGGTGTGCAGTTTCCTCTCAAGAGATGTTAAGTCGGCGTTATCCGACCGTTCCCAAACCTCTCTACGACGCTGTCACACTTTGAAGAAGTGTGTTGGTGACATCTTGGTCAATGCTGCTCCATCCTGCCAACTCAGGACTTCAGTGCAAACTTTGGTGCCCTTGTGCACTTGGCTTGCTAGTTTGCTCCCAATGCTCTCAATACGGTGTGGCTGCGAACTGTAATCTGAGCACTAACATCCAGATACGGTGAAACAGAAGTCAGTCCCTTGTGAGGTAATAGATCTGCAACGCTGAATCATCTTGGTACTCGAGACAGCTGGACTCCACCGGATGTACGCCATTCTACCTCCCGAGAAGTACCTGAAACCAACACTGAGCATCTTTTGTTATTTATTCGGTCGGAATTGATTTTTCATGTACGAAAAATGCACCGGTAGTAAACAGCAATTGGTTCATCCAAATCGGGTTTTTCTTATCATTACAGATGGTCTGGCTCCACTGTGGTTTCGCCTACCATAAGTAATGTGGATTCTGAAACTTACGAGCCAAATACACCTTCACTTCCTTATGATTCAGAAGTGGTGCTTCATTGATCACTTTGTACTGACGTCAGCTACTACTTCGGCTCTGTTGCACACACGGCTAATTTCGAATTACGATGGGTCATTCGCCGTTAGCCCTCTTTTGAAAGAATGGTAGGACTGTCTTTTCATCTCTTCAAAAGTCACATTCCTTGTCTGGACACAGTTTTACGTTGTTTCTAGACCGTTGCAATCGCCTTGCGATGCCATATGTTCCGAGACGAATTTTCGAGATGGTTTACCTTTCTGTGTCAGAGAGTTGAGGTCTTTGTGGCGCGTGAAGAATCGTTAAATTTTGATGAACCAAAGTTGTTATGATCCTACTTGTTTGTAGGAAGGAAAATTACAGTCAGCTGACAACTGCTAAACCCAAGGTCACCCTGTGAGTGTGAGTCACTCAAAAGTGAAATCACATATAGATCAAGCGTTCAACCATGATACCCGCTGGCTTGACGCCACTGTCAGAGCGATGTTAACCATTAAAACAAGGGCAAGCATGACCGCATGAACAAGCCATCTCAGCGCGTCACTTCCGCTGATACACCTGTTCACCAGTTGGATTTTCATCTACTACTGAGCTGGTTTGGCTAGACTTCTACTCGGTGGTAGACTTGATAGATCGGGATCCTTGCGGGTTTTTTCGTTACTTGTTGGACATTTGTGCGTTTACGGCTTTCCTTTTGAGATAGGTGGTCGAAATTTCCATGACATATTGGCCCAACTGTCTTCGACAACAGAATGGCCAACAAAGTGGACGTGATAGTTATCAAGAAAACCCGGGGTGATGGATTGCGCCGAACCGAGTGTATTGTTGCATCGATGTGTTTTAGAGAGAACAAGATCGGCGGGCGAAGATGCATCGTCATCGTGAGCCGTCAGCCGTGTCACCATCACGTACCGAACATCCTAGTACAAATTATAAGATTTCAAAAGAAGGACATTAGACGCAGCTGGAGCCGTCGGTAATCACTTTTGCAATGGCGAAGGAAACTCACCCTGTCTTTTCATTGTGCTTGAAAAAATAATGAGCATCAAGTCGGTGAAGTTATATCAAACCGAAATTACACTGGATATGTGGATATGTTTTCATAGTCACCTATTCATATCACGAAACAATATCTCGGTTGACTCTCTCTGTCGGATGCACCACGTGGGGAAAGTGGATGACTGTTCTCGCGATGCTGACTCTAGGGCAGGTAAATGAATACGGCAAGAACAACCCTGACCGATTAATATTAAGAAATGTCGCCAAAGAAGTACCAAAAACTTACCGCGATTCCATTCCTGTCCACGAACCGGTTGATGATAATTTGAAGCAACCATTCTTCGGTGGTATTAAACCAGAGACCGTGTGCCAAAAGTACTTCGAAGTAGGCGTCCAGCAGTCCTGGCTTCATACAGGTAGATGTTCCCACACGGGAACTGGCACCTTGATGGTTGCTTAATTGTCGTTTATAAGGCTTCCATGATCAATTGCGAGGCAACTTAACACATCGGACAAAATCAAGCTAAGACTATGGTACACTCCAATTCAAAACGATGACTTGTTCGAATGTCATTCAGACTCCAGACTGGAGGCTTGCACCCGTCTGGGTCAAGCCTCCTTGTTTGTCAAGGCGAAATTCCCCACCGATATGTCAATCTCTTGAGGCTGTACTCAGTCGTTGTATGCAGATAATGCCCACAGAATGCAAGGCCCTAGTTACGATATAAGTTGTAAGAGTTGGTGAGTGCGTCTCTGATAGCAGTCACTGAAACAGGATTGATCTAGTAAATTGAGTGAATATCCATACTCGGTCAAAAGATAAGAAGGGGAAGGACTGACAAAATTTTAAATTACGGATAATTTTGCGGCTACTCAGAGACCCAGATTAATCTCTGTTGCAGTATCTGTTGTGTTTTTCTCCCAAACGGAAATTCCAACTGGACGGCACGACGTGAACTCAGGTTATTCTGGGTTGGAATGACCGACTGAAGCGCGCTGTTCTGCTTCAACCCCTTAATCTAGAAGTAAGTGACATTTGGTGTTTTAATGACAAAGGAGGTTCTCAGTGGGTTAATTAGCTAGTTTAAAGGACCGGATATAGTTTCAAATCCCATGGAAATTCAAGACCCACCCCCAGATATATATCACTTGTGGGTTTGAAATCAGTCACTGCACTGGTACAAAGAAGTTAGAGTTTCTGACGAATTCATCGCATGGACTGAACATGATCATCATTACACCTAATTATTGATCAGCAGGCCGTCTGAATCCACAGAAAAAGGCTTAATAATTAATTACTCACATAAGTAACGTGACCAACAGCTTCCGGACTTTGTGTAACTTCAACAGATACACTTTGAGGTTGTTACTGGTGTATACTCATGCGTATATGACTGAGGGTAATAGACAATGTATGACGATAATGTGCCGACCAGCAGTTGCAATTTTACCAAAAATAACAGAGTAACGAGTTAAAAATTGGTCTCATTCACAAAGTGCATGTTGGGGAATAATGGAAGACTGATTTATGTGCACGTGATCTGCAGTGGAGTCCGTAAACCTGTGAATCCAAGGTGTTTATTTTTTAATCAGGAATCTCCGTTTGGTGGTTTTAGGCTTAGGATATGGGCTTGTTGGTGCATCAACCGCACCCATAGGAGAGACAGTTCCACTGACAGGTCTTTCTTCCGGCATCTCGGTTGGTTCACTTATCGAATCTAGCATCATCAAACTCCGCCTGAGCAATGCCAAATTCACGGGGAGGTTGGTCACCGTGACGCTATTGCGCAAAAGACGTCGAGTGGCCTTCTCAGCTAATGCTCTCATTGTTTTCACGCCTGCGTACTCCTCAAATGTTGGCGGATCTAGTTCGAATACCGGATCGTACATAAGCATGGCTGACAATGCTCCTGGATTGACAATTATACGCTTGTCTGAGCGTATCACTCCGGTATCCTCCAGTCGATCAAAATGTGGAGTAGGCTGAATGCGAAACGCCCAGAGCCGCAGGTAACCGATGATAATGCAGATAAAGTAAAGTACTAATTGAACGAGACAAATAATGCAGACCTCTGTGGTGCTAGTCATGTGGACGAATCTTCACTGACAATCGATATGCAGTGGATTTAAAAACCAACCACAAGTTGCATTACCAATGGGGCCAGGTGGGGTTTGACCATCTATCAGTTGTTGCCTGCTTTGCGGTCCGGAGTTCAAATTGAACGATGTCAGCAGTTCAGCATCTTGGTCCATGGAAGAATGATCCACGTTAATGTTGCTACCATTGTTGACTTCTGTGCCATGAATTATAACTACTAGGATTCATTTGGGTCAGCAATGTAACCGGAAGTGAGATGGTTCAAAGTATATCTAGCTTTTCTCCAGTAGTAGATTCTGCAAAGTAGGAGCACGTCTAATTCAGCGGAGAGTTTCTCATCCCGAAATCGGGAAAAATACCATCCGAATGCACTCCAAAAGTGAAAAGGTTGGTTTTCAGCTCGCAGCTACATAAAGTGGTGGACATAGCGACGGACTAAGTTCTCACCGGTTTGATAATTTCGCATGTCTGGATTATTAGAACAACCGAACTGAAGTTGCCATGTACATTTAGGCTGGCTGGAACCTAATTTTTACTTTCGGACGATAACCTCCTGAAAGTATGATTGTTAGCACGTACTAAAACATGATCAAGCATGTTTCTTGTGCCATCACGTTCGGAGAAGAAATTGTATTAACGTGGGTTCACTGGCCCTCGGAACGATTTCAAATAGATTCTATTAGTGCGATTTGAGGACACATCTATCATTATTAAAAAACGTGCATGATTTTGTGGCTAACTTTTCCAGTTCCATTTTGTGATAATTTTGTTATCTCGCTATTCGTCTCGATGTTCCTGACGAGAGGGTAGCGGTGGGGCCATTTGTTGAAGCAACGCTCTAAGATCCCTTCAGGGGGCTGTCAGGCTTTCAGCCAAGCTTCCATCAATTTACTTTTGAAAAGCTGCGTTTTAACTGCGGAACAATCCTTCTAGCCGAATGTTTGGCAGACATACACTTTCCCCTTACCACCACGGTCGCTGGCTTTCGAGGTAACCTTGAATTCAATAAAGACTCTCGGTGGTAATGACCTGTAGTCTTCACTGTGTCACGTTCAGTAGCTAATATAGATGGATGTGACGTTTGATAGCATGAACGTTTTCAGTTCTTCCTATCGTTTTTCGGCAGTTTATCAAATTTAGCCCCTCGTATGTCCTTTGAGGCATTTCATCTCTGTATCACTGAGCTACAGAAAGCTTAGGAAGGTGATGAATTGAACGAGCGCCTGTCGGTCTGGATGGCCCCCGGAAAAAGGAACTTATTTGCATTTCTGCACATGTATTCCAGAAAAAGCGACAATATTGTTAGATACAAACAGCCGGCCTCGTAATCTCGCGGACATGACTGGTCCTACAGTTTGTTGATAACGGTACTCGTTGAGATCTTCACATGGGTGTCTTTAAGCCAGCTGCTTGTCCCCGTCTTCAGATGATATTGGCCAAGTGAGACTTAAGAGATACCTTTCTGGTAAGGTATAAACGTTTCCACGCCAAGTTCGTATCTACTGGGAACAGGTGATGCACACACAACTGCACAAACTAAATCTTGTTTTTCTTGGCTTAGTCGATTGAGTTGGCAAATAAGTGAATCGGTATCACACAAACCGACGTGAGTTTCGGAGACAATACACATCAGCCTAGAGCGGAAGCAGGGTTTTAGCAAGAGACGTTTGTAGTCCAACTTGAAAGGGGCTACAAAAATCAAAGGATCCTTCGAGTTAACTGAACGCCACTTCGGTCTACTTCACCGGTAAAAATTCTAGATGCTTTTCGGTTGACTAACAGTTAAGTGAGCTAGGTTTTGGTTAAGGACCAGTGAAGAATCACCTGCAAGGGTGGATGCATCCAAACTATTGCCTTCAATGCATAGCTCCCATCCCAATTCCCCCACTTGACAGTTCACTGATAGTGCTGTATTTACACACTAATTTATCAGCTCCCGCCTCTAATGCGCAGCTGCCTACCCCACCTCCCCGAATCGTCGATGAACGAAACTGTGGCAGCTACAACCACTGTATGACAAGTACGCGGTTATTGCAGCTGACAATGATGATGATGAGGAAGAGGGGAATGATACTTCCCTGTGGTTCGGGTCGCAAAAGTAGGTTGTCCCACCTGGAATCTTTAAACGAAAAAGCTGAGTCCCATGGCTTCTGGAAACATTCATTTCTGGAGTCATCGCGGGCTTCGGCTAAACCAAGTGGAAGTGTTGCGGCCCCTCTGGAACCTCTCTGGATTTATTGACTATCTGAAGCACTTGACTGCGGTGTGATCAGGAGTCGGGTCTTAGATGACGGTAATTCACTCAAAGAATACATAGAAAACTATAAGCCAAGATGGACGGGCCATGGGGGGCCGAATTATTGTCCCCTGAGATGAGGAAAAACTCAGATGAGGATAGAATACAACGTAGCAGATGGGGAACAAGAATTTTGCGACAAGTTTGGGCACCGGTGGTTCTGGTCATCTTTCAGGAGGTGTAGGCATTTTTGATGTTTGTGGTAGGTTAGCCATGGGTTCTCCTCTGTGCCACTTTTTCCTTCAACTATGAGGCTTTATTCGGGTAGACTGGTATGGGTGTATGGCAGTGAATTGGTGTTCTCATCATAAATGAGAGATTCACTTGGGTTCCAGGTGAGTCTCTTGCAAAACCAAATTGGTTTGCAAATGGGTGTATTTCACTAAATCAGTGTTCTCTGACGTTATTGTTGGTGATGAAGAAGTAAAACAGAAGTATGATAGTGGTGTGGCATCGAGAAAATCAAGGTTATTCGACCATCATGGGTGATTCTCCAGCAGTCACAGTCAGTCGCCAGGGGATTGGGGTGGGGTTTTCAGGGTCAAACCCAGGCGGCAGCACAACTGCTCTCGACAGCATGGAAGTATTAGTTGCTTCTACCATACTTCTGTCGCAGAGGCCAGCATGAACTTTTGCTCGGAACGCTTCGGATTGCGACTGCCTGCAGTACAGTCGTTTGCTGCATTTAAACTTGTTGCTCCCACGCGGCCTTTAGAGACCAGATTCACCAAGTAAGTCGTGCGCACGCTTGTGTATTACCTTGGAAAAAGGGCTCCAAAACGATTTTCGTCTGAGTATGGTAAAAGGTTGTTCGTAATGCCGGATTTTCGTTCCACACGTAATAGAGTAGGCTAACTGTCACAGTCAGCAGGGACTACAGCCTGAGCCGTCATGAAGCGGCCACCATGTTTTTACCTTCAGAGAAGTCAATGGCCCAAATGGAAGTTGCGCCATCTCTCCCGCAGTCTTCTTGAAACACCCAAACTGACTTTTCTTGCTACCGAACAAACAACACTTCTACATCCACATTACTCCAATCGTTATCACTCAAGATTTATGGTATTGCATTTGCAGTCCCCCCCCCAACTATAAGCTGTTCATATTTTTTTCACAAGGTCCACCCATTTTGGTGAATGTTCTTGCTACTGACATCAAGCAAGATCCACACTCTGTCCAGGACGTGTTCGGCCAAACTGTCCTTAACTCTGTGTGCTGAGGTCTACTGCTTTCGTCCGTCCGTGTTCAACACCAAGTTGAACATATTTAACGTAATAACTCCGAAGTGCGTTCATAAACAGGCAGTCTTTGCACCCACCTCAATCCTCGATATTTGCTGTCCTCAAGAGACCCGATATCAGGACCCTACCAACCGACTTTGATTAGCTTCTCCGTCTGATTCACAAAATTCCCACTGGGGTTCTTTCGAGCCATCTGGATCTGATAGGGAGTGTTGATTTAGCTCTCGGACGCAGGGCTGAGGCCGCACCCAAGTAATGAATCGCCACTGAGTCAACCCTGTCCAATAAGAATTAAGGGTACATGTAGAATGTCCGTATATATCCCAACCGATTGTTGTCCGGATGTGGTACCTACCAGCGCTTACGCTTCGTGGGTTCCTAAATCAGACGTCATGATCTTAGCCCGAGACTCGATAACTGGGATCGGCGGCAGCTGAGGAGCATTTGGGCGGTTCATTTGGTCTGGGAAACTCTCGTTCAGACAAGGATGAACGGCTCATGAGCTTGTTTCTTTGCAAGCAAAAACTCCGGACATACCAGTCACCAGTTATTTGGTGTTCTCCCTCCGTAGAACAACCCTAGAAACAAGTTGACCCAACAGCTGCCGTCTGATTCGATACGATTGTTTCGTTTCTCGGTCACACATTGCCTTTTATCACATGACCGCGTGCAAGAGGAAGTACACATTTCTCTGACGCGCCAAATTAACATGATTCTACGAAGTGATTGCAAAAGAACGGTGGCCGACACGGGCTTCTGAAATGGTGACTGCCACTCCGGCCTGCAACTCTTCAAAGCTGTTGCAGATAATCCGTGTTGATGTTAGGGAATCGATCATTAAGGTTGTTGGCATTAAAATTCATAGTTTCAGGTGCCGCTTAAAAAAGATGGACAGAGCATTTTAGCAGTTTAACTGACATCCGCACCAGCCAGCTCGCTGCAAAAGTTCCTGATCCCCGAGCTTCAAAGAAATGCATGCCCCAAAGTATGATGAAAAGCGTGTATCTATGACATTGCTTCCATACTTTTCAGGCGACTGTGGCCAACTAGTGTGGTATCCCCTCCAGAGAATTACTCATTTTCCTCGTCTTTATGGAGGCTTCACGTATGGTATGTAGCAACAGCTGCAAAAAGATTGAGATTCATTCCGCTGAACAGGTAGTCTGTCAAGCGATACGCCAACCGTCACTGTGTCCTGGGTATAACCTTTGCTACACATCCGACGTATCCACTGGAGTGGGCAATTCAGTTTTCTTTCGACACCGTTAGTATTCTCAATAACGCATAGGAAGATCAGGCTGAATATGTCAAACTTCTTCCTGTCGGAAAGTTAGCTGACTGGCAGGTGGCTGATGATACCAATTCGACTGTTAATATCACCCAGGAAGCGGAAACTATCTTAGATCGGTTAACGCACGCGTAGAACGAAACGACGTATGCCCTCTGAAGGATGCGGTGTACTTTGGAGAATTGACAGGAGCTTGAACCTTCTCTTATCCTAGGTGACAGGCTTGCAGCAGTGAAAATGGGAAGCCACAATTGTTTACCAATCTGAAACACCTATTGCAACGCGGCATTAATCTTTCTAGGCTTACTGTCGTTTTGTTGCACTTGTGTGAGACCCGGCCCGCCACGTGGATTACGTTCGTCGGCTGATTGTCGTCTTTGACAGTCGTTGCTTATGTAACATCGCACTTGCGTGGTGGCAGCAATATAGTGAGACATGATGTACTGAGCACCGATGGTTCCATCACGAGCCAGATTGTTTTGTTACATTGACTTAGGTTTGCTACTCCACCGCACACTATGTTGGGCCTTAGAGACAATGATAGCCGTTTGTTGGGGGACCCTTAGGAATGTTGTTCTGAATCGAAGCCTCGAGACCAGAAAACAACAAACGAAACCCAATAACAGCAAGTCATAAAAGACTGTTCAGCTCATTTATGACCCAGTTTTGTTTCTTTCATTTCGTGACTAATTTGGCAGCGAGGCAGTTGCCAAATCTGTCTGGAAAGTATACTGTTTTACGGTCTTCTACAGCTTGGGCTGAACCAAGGCATTTTTCTTATCTTCATGGGTTGCAAGTTTGGACCTGGACTTAATCATACCAAAACAATAACCTTTCTTATATAGAAAAATGTCGGTAGCTCAGGTAGCGAACAAGCCAACGACAATAACCTTTCCTAGACGTATGATCCGACATCGAACGTGGAAGGACTATTTGTGTTTCTTTTCTTATGCTAACCTCTCCTTCGTTGAACTATATCCCCAACTATTACCAGGGCGAATGCTCGATGAACTACGTTCGCCATTCCCTGTTTACTAAGTCCCACATATCGAGATGCTAACATGCGAGGAATATTCACTTGGCAATCGTCAACTGAACCACACTGTTTCAAGGTACACAATGAATGTCGCCCGTGTGGCATTCTTCACATGCGTGGGTTTACGGACATTGCGGGTTTTTTAACGTCAAAAACCACCAGGTGATTTAACGGCAATTTGCACCTTCAGTCACGTTGGACGCTACAGATGTATGTATATGGTCGATGGTCTGGTATTGGACACATCACGCGCCATCAGAAATAAGGACTGTCTCGGTTGGGAGACAAAAACGTGACTACATTATACAACTTTTCCAAGTACCTCGTCGCCGCTAAACCATCCCCTCCCTAATAGATAGAACCAAAAAAGCAGGGGAAGTTTGCCAAATAAAGTGTGGTAGGCAATTTGTCTCTAAGATACAAACACAAAACATATACAACAAACCGGAAAGTATGGAAAGAAGTGATTGCCGCAATCCAATCATATGAGGAGGGATCACAAAGGACAGAGTGTGGGGAGGAAAGCACGACGGTGGATTTCACAAAAGTCGAAATAATAAAGAACCGGGATGACAACTACGTTCAGCTCGAACCAGCACTCGCTCATCATTTATGGGTGTCTGAAGTAGGTTGAGCTTCGGAAGCGAGCTTCTTAAACACGCGAATACAACCATCGCAATCCGCGGACACCACCAATTCACCCAAATAAGAACCAGGATGGCGAGGATCTGCGTTAGGAGGTAGCTGATCTAAGCGCAAGCTAGGTGTAATACATCCGGCTTCACTGTGAGATCCGAAGGTTCCAAGGGCGATGCAACGTCTCAGCTGCTTGTCCAAGGCCAGATTCGGATTAGGACTGAAGATCGCAACAGTGACCATGGTATCGTGTGCTTTAATAGCTTCCCAGCAGTTGTTACGGTCTTTGCGCAACCGTGAGAAACGAGAAATGCGGTCAACTTCGAGCGACTTACGCCATATGTAGAAAAATGAGTTCTCCGAACCAGAGATGAGATATCGACCGGTGGGACTAGAGTAGGGGGAACAAGACCCACAAGAGAAGGCAGGGATTTTGACGACCGGTCAAAACACAGAAAATAGTTTGATTCTTCACAGCATACACGAAAACGGGCATCGCTATGCTCCTAGGTTTTGAAGAAATCTTTTCCATCCGAGGGATTTCTCAGCCATCCACTTCCTACATATTTTGCACGATTCTGTTAGTGAGACCTACACATCATCCAACTGGATTCGAGCGCCCTACCTTGCCCAATATCGTGAAGCCATGGTGTTTACCACTCCTGTGTGTGACGATCAAAATAGATAAACCTTGAATGCATCAGACATCTACAAACAAAATTAGTCTTAACGTGACATGTGATTAAATCGCACGTCTGTGTGCAGTGTAAAATCGAAGTGAGTTTAGCTGAGCCGATATTCAAGACAGTGTGGTGTAAATAGTAAATGCATGTAGCTCTTCTAACAGAAGAAGTCCGAGTGCAGGGTTTTGGAAACTAATGGAGATAATGAATCAGTTGTGCCTTACTACTGACATAGTTGACGAGACGTGTGAAATGGAAATTGAATGATTGTGTTAGGGCTATGTCAAGGGATCATGCAGCCCAACTAAATAAACTTACCTGAACGAAGCTCGAATCTGGCTTGTCTCATTCACAAATCCACGGTATTTGCATAATGTGTGATAATCTCGAGCATCAATTAGTCGAAGTCGCGAATCGTTCGATGTGACCAGAATCTACAACCAGGCAGGATGACGCAATGCAGAATGATGTTGCAATGTGAAGCAAAAGAACATCATAAATGGTAGTCACATGTGATTGGTTGCTTGGTTGCAAAAAATGTTTAACCCGAAAAACCACACTGCCCTATGGAAATGTTCGAGAATCAGCACTCGGATAAAGCTCCATGTGTACAATAGGACCGTCAGATCTGTATCAATATATGCCTGTTCAACCTGGTCTCTATGAACTACCAGTATTGGAAGACTCAGTATTTGGCCACTGGTGCTTAAGAGGAATACTCGACGTAAACTGAAAATCCGGTACTCAATGAGGATGTCGAGGACTGATCTAGCGGCACAGATTACAGTCGCCAGGATTCCCTGTTGAGACCGCTCTGCTCAAAATGGCTCTATTGCAGCGGACGGGGCGAGATGGACCAAGTGGTTAGAGCGCGAATTTACTGACCGGAAGATCCGTGGTTCGAACCCGACCTCTGCCTCTCGACTTCCCATGTCTAGGCTTGGGCGACCTGACAGTATCCCAGCCCTCGTGCTTCATTTGTGTGGCATGGCAGCTAGGCACCGAAAGGGTGCTACAGCTGAACGATTAGTTTTATTAGATTATTGCAGCGGAGGACAGTTGAAAACCTGGTTGTCTACAGTCAAGACCGACGCTAAACTATCTGATCTGTGGAGTCAAGCAGTGGAACAGAAACTGGATAACTTTGCTCTTGGACCTTCCTGCCGATTGAGTTGCATGGGCAGCAGTGATACGGAATGTCCCTGGAGCCGACGAGACAGATGAATAACTACTGTGAAAACAGACAAAAGTACGAGTTTGATAGCATATCATCATAAGACCTCGTAGTACGAATGATCGCAATACGAGGCCCCCTGGCGATAAATTCGTATTGTCCAGTGCGATGGGAGTTTGAACACAGACGATCAACATCACATTAATGGGAGCAGCGACGCTGCCTTCCTTACAACAAGGATGGGTTGGGCAAGGCTCAATAAAAAAAATCCAACCGAAAAATTGCCCAATGGCTGAACATGACAGTCACTAAATCATACAACATGACCACAATGCAAGAGCCCGATGCTATACGGGATAATATAAGGAACAAGACATCCATGCTCCTTGAGACTGGGCCATTCCCGCAGCGGGCGAGCCAGACTATTTAATCATTGGCTCTGGACAGGGTCCTCCAAAAAACCCCTACTGCTCAAGAGTCAGACTTTTGAGGCAGAGTCTACACTCCCAAACAAAACCCTTTCTTTGCTCACTAACTTGCAGGTTATATTTTTGATTTAAACTCGGAAGCTGGAGTACTTCAACTGTGGGGGAACTCAGTCTTGAGAGGACTTGAAATTATTTTGTTTTCGGTTTGGAGAGAGGAAGGTTGTTTCCCCGAGGGAACCGCATTTGACAGAAAGTTCATACCTGCTTGAGGCGTTTTTGGAGATGCACCAGGGCAGTTGTAAACCTGATTCAGATTCTAAATGTAGGGTCATATAACTCAGTTGTCGCTCGAAGGACCGGTTGATGGTGAGTCACACACTGACCCGTAGACTGCTGACTAGTGTTCGCCCCTAGTGATCTAAAATCTCCTCACACTATTATGAATCTATAAGTAGCTCATAGGAAGAATGACTTCATAGGATGAGTGAAACCCATTCGAGAAGTTATCGCCCGAATGGCCGTTCAGTATGCGACCAAGCATTGTCTAGGTGCGAGTTAATCACACTGCAGACTCTCCGTTCGTGGCCAAACGCTCAAGTGTTCAACTCACCAGATGGAAGATCTCGGGTTCGAAGCTGCATTGGGTTTCGTGAGATGAACATTGCTGATGATTCCCAATAAGAGAAAAACTGCTGTACAATGCTTCTCAACACAGATTGGCTTCACTTACACGACGAAACCTCGATTAAAGACCGTGTTTAAAACCTCTAGCTGAGGTTGTGGACTTTAATCCCCTTCAGAATGCACCACTGAGAATGCACCGGAGTGAACAGCTCCATCATGGTACTATGTTTTTCATCAAAAATGAACTTCGGTTCGCAGAGTGAATTCGAAAATCGAAACTTGTAAAACCATGCCCATGTGGTGTACAGACTCAACGCACCAGACCTGAGTATAGCCGCTACTGGGGAAATGCAGCATTAGCGATGCTATAGATACCCAGAGCTGGGAGGTTAAGACTGCTTACGTGAGTGATTCGAGTAAAAAATTACACATAATCGGGGCAAATAGATAAGTACGAGTATACGCAGAGGTCTATCCATACCTTTGTAGAATCGGTTGGATCCAGTTCCACCGCTGTGACGCGGCACTGGCGGCCTTTGGTAGTGAACTTGATCGCAATAAATGTGATGTAGGTGAGCTAAAAGGGAAGAAAAGCGACGGATAGAATAGAAGGAATCTAAAATCGCATGAAAATAGCGTACGGATCACGGAAGTTGCTCAGCACGTCTAACGAGCTAACGATGAGTTGACGCCGGAAGGAGACTAAAACGATGAGCGCTGAAGACGAATATTATTGAGTTAGGCCAAGCTGATCAGATCATCCAGAAGAAACAGGCAAGCAGTCTCTTCGGAAAACAACCAAGAGCTTTTCTGTGAACTCTCTTCCAATACGGTTCCGTCACCAACTGAGGCTTTTAGCTAGTTTCATATGATAAGATGAATGAAGCAACGAAAATAACGAGCAAACCAACATAAATACGAGAAAGCTACGAATCACAATCGAACTGACAGCATAGCGACTAGAAAGTCCTGCATCATGTTCACCTTCACTTGAAACGGAATAACTCTTTTCACGCTTGTGAACTTCGTGATTTTTTTCAACTGTCTGTCTTCCACATCTGTTCAAAACACAGTTCCAACTGACCAGTCTTTACAAATGATAAGCAAGTTCAGGTCGTTGTATCCGAAAACTGACGCACTAGGAGATTAGTGATCACACGCATCATATAGATTGTCATTCGCAGAACGACGTCATAAGTTGTACGCACTGGCTGAATCCTGAGAGTTTTTAACAGTGAAGTCAGCTAGCTAGGTGCGGATCATGGGCCTGTTCGGGGCAAGTGAAAGTCGAGTGGGAAATATCAGTTACAGGTCAGTCTAATTAGCTATTTTTCGATTATCACAATGAACAGGGGAGTGAATAAACCATGCTCCTCATCAAACATCAGTTGTGAACAACTTTCGGGAATTCTAGATGACAGATTTGCTCACCAATGAAAGAGAGGATTGAAGGATTTAGGTACACATTGTAGGCGGCAACTCTGAATACTGTCGTATTAACCGAGTGCTGGTAGTATGCTGACTACATATGATTACCTTATTCGTTTAAAATGGCAGACAGAGAACTCGAAGCAGATGGTGGCGGTGCAGAATTACGTCGACTAACCGAACATGGCCAACATATCTTGAAAACCAGCGCTGTAATATTTGTTCCATGAGTGACCGACAAAAACAAAGGGCATACTGTTTCAAATAGTATGCGATGAAAAATTCAGTGGAAGTAGTTCTGACCCAAATGAACTTTGTAGCAAAAACTACTGGGTACATTTTCATCCTAAATAAATCAGAGATGAATTGACATATGTCACTACAAGATATGGCTGCCAACCGATGTCAGTGACGTTCTTGTTGTCAGTTTCTATCCAGATTGCCTGAGTGAATGTCTGGAGATGTAGGCACCTCGGAATGATTGTGTTAAGCTAGCGCTAATTCCCTTTCCTGTCCACCTTTACTCTTTTCTTTACAATAAGGCTTTCAAATAAATCATGGTTGTACGGCAGTGAAGCATCGGTGTTGAACACTGATGTCATGCTGTCGATGATGATGATGATGATGAATTTCAACCTAATTAATGCACGTCATGTTACAGTTTTGAATCTTGGTAGACTCACTAGAACTGCGCGCGTAGTTTGTGAGAAACCAGTTGGATAGCTCAAAGGTCACGGTTGCGTAAGATAGCTCTTCATGTATTAATTCCCTCCGTAATATCATACTTACCTATGCAAGATGGAACTGAATTTGACTGGGTGGATGTGGGCTTGGTTTTGCTCAAAAGCAGCTCAAAAGGTAGTCTGCTACACGCAAATTAATCGCAATACAAGCGCATAAAGTTTCGAATCCCAACGGAGGGCAAGGTTGGATGATTGTGTTACGGACACTGTTGTGTTAGGCATGGAGACGTGCCAGCATATATCATTTCTAGCACTGATGCCCAGTTGACGACATGTAGATCTCCATGAATACATAGAAGATTCAGCCATGGACTGTGTAACAGCGAATGTTGTTTTACTGGCACCCACATACAACGAAGTTCATTTCTGTAGCTTATGAAATTCCAGAGCTAAGGAACTATTTGCCCGAATGGACCCTTATTTGCTTTAGGAAGGAGGTTTTTTTTGATCGTTTTAGTGCTACGAGATATCAGGTACTTCGGAAAAACCCACAACAACATATCGACGCAAGAAAGGAAGAAAGCACTCATCCAGCCGAGCGTGGATCATGTCTCCTCCATTGGACTGTCGAGGTCAGGAAACGGATCAATTACCGCCTGATCGACAATCAGCAGAAGTACCTGAGCAACCAATATTTCGACTGTTCCTATCTACGTTTGGACAACCTGACGTTAGCTAAGTCCTCGTGTTTCATCCGGGTGCAATTTTAGCTAAAATGTTGTTATAGCTCAGCTGTTTGATCGAGTTCTTGGGTATGACTGTTTCCGCGGAGAAACCCTACCTTACCGAAAGTAGTCCAGTCCCATGGAGCGAAAGAATTGCTAGATCTGTGGTAAACCCCAGAAAGAAATTGATAAAGAGAAACGCAGCGAACTGTAAATGCTATATGACATTTGTATCATAAGAGTGTCCGTTTGTCAGGTTTTTGGAGCTCATCCCTTATGTTCGTTTAGTTGGAGTTTATTTTACTGTCCGAGAATTTTCAAGGGCATTGCTCAGGGTGCTTGGGAGACTGCGGGGTTTTTAAAAAATCCATTTCCATCGGTCGCCTCACATGGGAGGACACTTTTGGTCAGACCCTCCACGTGGTCCCTTCAACTTTGGATGACTGCTCTTCATTTCAGACGGACCACAAACAACTGTTAAGACTAGTCACTACGATAAATCCTGAATGTAGTGCCAGAGCAACAAATCTACCAGACATGAATAACAATCCCGAATAGGAAGTAAGGTTTCCCACTAATTAGCAGATGCAGCTAGGGGCGAGATGGCTCAAGTGGTTAGAGCGCGACCTTACTGACCGGAAGGTCCGTGGTTCGAACCCGACCTCTGCCCCTCGACTTTCCCTGTATAGGCTTGGGCAACCTGGCAGTGTCCAAGCCCTCGTGCTTGCTTCGAGTGGCGTGGCAGCTAGGCACTGGAAGGGTGTTACAGTTAAGCAATAAAAGACGCTGCCAACCGAACGCAGCAGTTTACACGAAAGGGTGGAAGTAGGGCCGCATGCAAAACTCAAGTCTCAGTGGTTTGATGATGACATCTTCCATGTGCACTTTAGGGAAGAAAAGTTACGGACTTGACTGCCTTCCAGTAACCAGGTTCCTTAACGAAATTTCCGCACGAGTTGAAACAAGGACCGACTCCCAATCATCAGCTTACTGAAAATCAAAGGCCCTCCCTACATTAGTTGCTTGGAAGTATATGAGTCTAGCCGCAACAGCTACAAGCAAATGTTCGTGTCTGTTTCGGGAACTGAATGTTTATGGCTGAGTCAGAGCAGAAAGAAGGTCTTTTTCCATTAGGTGTATGGAAACACTATAGCATGAATGAATGAATAGATTAGCGAATATACACTCATCTGCAAACTAATTTGGCTCTTTCGACAGACTCACCTGGAACCCAGCTGAATCTCTCGTTTATGATGTTCTCAGGCAACTGAATGTGCTGCACCAGGCCGCCTCATGTTTCAGTCGCTACGATATTTGAAATATCGCGATACATGTATACTTATAAGGTTGCTGAAAATCCATCGACAGCCCACGACCGGTTTCGCCCTTCTTGGGGCTCATCAGGTAGGCGCAGTCCCCGGGTTTCCGTTAACATTATGTTCTTGAAACCAAATTGCACGAAATTAGCGAATATACATTCATCTGCAAACTAATTTGGTTTGTCGACTCACCAGCAACATTGTGAGTAGTACACTACAAAAATATACGTGTACCACGATATCTCGAAAATCATAGCGACGGAAACATGAGGCGGCCTGGTGCAGCACTTTCTGTTGCCTTAGAACATCATTAACGAGAGATTCAGCGTTCCAGGTGAGTCTCTCGAAAGAACCAAATTAGTTTGCACATGAGTGTATATTCGCTAATTTCGTGCAAGTTGGTTTCAAGTAGAACATAAGGTTGACGGAAACCCGGGGACTGCGCCTACCTGATGAGCCCCAAGAAGGGCGAAACCGGTCGTGGGCTGTCGATGGATTTTCAGCAACCTTATGAGTAGTACATTACAAATGCGAATGAACAGATTCCTTCATTTTCACAAACGGAACCATTTTTCGAGGGAAATTTCTTCTGAAGAGTTGTCAAATTCTCAGGAAGCATTACATGACCTCCGACTAATAAATTTTCGTTCCGTCTCTATAAGCAAAAGCACATACCTACCTCGCTGTTAAAGAACAAGACGCGACCGTCGTACGTGCCCACGACTACCTTTGTGCCTTCGCACGCGAAAGTTGCACATGTGATTATGGTTTTGGGCCCGAAATTTCGTGAAACACCACTAGCTGCAGTGGAGGACGTTGTTACTTGAGGCGTAGGTGGAGGAGTGGACTTGAACAAATTTGAAGCAGTTGTTGTTGATGACCCATTAGCGACAGGCAGTGCGCTCGGTATTGGCACCTCAACCCAGAAACGGACTTTCTTGTCTGGAATATTCCAAAGTCGGAGTTTCCCGTCCAAACTGCCGGAGAGGAAGTATCGATCGTCCTGTTACAGAATAAAAAATAGTGAATGTTTAGCCACGAGGCCGCAGAAACCAGGAAAGTGCATGGAAGTCGAAACATACCTTTGGATGAAATACGATGGTTGGAACGGTATCGTTATGGCTGAACAAGCAAAGACACTCTCGCCTGCTGATGTGCCACAAACGGACTTGGTGGTCCATGCTCGTGGCTAATAGGAACAAGTTTTTCGACCACGTCAAGTCAGTGACCACACCTTCATGACCTCGATACACTAAAAGGGGTTGAGAACGGAAGACCGTGCGACGTCCACGCTCCAAGTCGGGCTGTTTACGTAATGAGGCCGAAGCCTTGGTATTTGAAGTTGCTGAAGGACTGTACCCGTCCGTTCTAGTCGCTTGAGTTGAACTGCAGGTCGACGTGCCATCCTGGAATAGACAGAACATGTGGGTACGATTATTTACAACGAATGATTAGGGTAATCTTGTTCGGAACTACTATACTAGAGCATCTACACAGATTCATGCGAAGGATAAACCACGGGAACCAGCACCAAACACATATGGGACGTAGATGGGAGCAGACAGAATTTTCGGTGAATAGGAGAACGCCGAACGACTGAGAGGTTGAGTGCCAAAGTGCTCAACGGTAGATGACGTCAGTGAAGGGTGAACGAACTTCGGACTTAGTCGTGGCCGGTTTCTGCTCAATCCAGGCAACTCAACTGTCGTAAGCATTCATTTGAGATAGATGGCTTAGTGTGACTCCGATTCCGGTTCCTTTCCATAAGTCTAGTCTGAATTGAACGTCTCCATCACAAGAGGACTCACGGTGTTTTCAGACTGAGAAATCTGGTAACGGTTCGACGTAAGGAAGACAACAGCTCAATGTGCCACGTTCTCCTGCTAATGCGGAAGGTATTGGCTATGATGTGACAGCACTACACATAACTCTATACATTCACCTATTCCGTCGGCGTGATCTAAACTGTCTGGGTAAACAAACCCACCATTCACACAGCGACAATGCCCGTTCCGCTTGTGTGTGGTCGTAAGAGTTACTGCACCCGCTTACCCATCCGTGTTCGCCCTCTGTCTGCTCCATCTGTTCTGACTTGTCCTACCATGAAACCTGGATATTCACACCATCAATCAGAATTATACAGTCCACCCGAGATAGGAGTGCTGTAATGATAATTTTAATAGCAACTTTCTGGTTGGATGGATTTCAAGCGTGAGTGAACAGATTGGCGGAAAACGGTTATGGAGGGTAAATTGAAGCGCAGAGGTCCACTCCCATCCTCAGTAACCGTCCAAGAGAATACACATTCGAACGCGTGGAGAGTAAGAAACCACAGACAAGAGAAAAGGGATGATAAGATACAGCACCCTAGTCATAAAGTTGCTGAAAACGACCCGTATTCGATGTTCCTTAGACCAGCATCCCATTGTACCTGTAGTTGGGACGGATAGCATGATTATTTTGAGGTACACCGTATCGCCCCTGTCGGAAGTCATATACGATATGGTGAAGGAATAATACAGTGTAAATACGCTTAACCTGTCCAGCGGCCGGGCAACTTGACGCTCCAAGACAGTGGGATAGTGATTGTTATCTAAGCTGTCACACAAAACCATGCCAATCTATTCCGGGCACAACATTTAATGGAGAATGCGATTGCTGCTAAGCATCATGGGCAGTCAGCGAGGGGGAAGTTCCTACTTCAGTGATGGCCCAAAAATCGCCAGAGCATATGAGGACAGCCAAAAAGTTGAAACCCACAACGTTTGTACGGGGCAAATCGGTGGCCCACAGCACTCACAGGGCATTCACATTGTACGAACATACGATTAGTTAGCGCTAACCTATAATCTACTCGGTCTGCAAAAGAATGGACGTCGTTTCTGGTACTGTTTTACGTTTGGGACTCCAAAATATTCAATGTTAAGGCGGGAAATTTGCAGATTTGTGTGTGAAATACGGAAACAGGGAAAAACAATATAGGATTGCACAATGCAGTTCAATTCAATCGAAGACCTACAGATATGTAACAGACGCAGTACATCACGGATGACAAGCATAGAGGGAAGGCAAGGAAATTGGTGGTCCTCATAAACAAGGCAGACTATGCATGCATGAGGGCAGGAACGTGAAGTGTCGTGAAGTAAAAGTGAAAAAGTGCGAGGATATGTTCGCTTCGCCATTCACCTCCGTACACAGCTGTTAGGCGAACCAGAAGAGGCAAAGCGATGAGATAATTTCGGGTCACCAAGCCTGAAATTCAGCGGCCAGATTCGAACACCAGACACCTCAGTCAATGCTCTGTGACCTAAACATAGGGTCGGCCCAAGTTAATGCACAATGGTTGAACTACGGGTGCGCGTCGCCCCCTAGGGACCACAGTAGAGCTTCCCAGTGTGCGAAGAAGACACTAAATTCTCTCGCCCTCCGCGGTGGTCTGTTTTGGAGATAGATCCAGGCCCTTTGACAACAGTCTCGACGGATGACCACAAAAATCTCAGCGTTTTTTGATTCGGAGCAGAAGCAGGACAAGTTGGAGGGAGATGATACATGGAACTATATAGGGATAGGTAATGGGTGTCTCGTATGACACGCGTCGATCAAAGATGAAAAAGTGTCCGGTGTTCTTCCTGATGGCCATCACGTCATTCATCGTAGAAGCAATTCGGCCAACAGGGGTGTCTAGTGTGTACTTCTGAAAATCCCTGGTTAAGGGGAATGGAGGATGAGTTGGCTTACTCCCGTAAACGTACTAACATTAAGTGTAAGCACGGAAAGGCGCTTCCGCACCCCTCTTAGAGGAAGTGTGTATAGGAGAGATAGTAAGTTCCTATGGGTAGTTGTGACAAAGGTAACCATTAGGACAGCTGGCTGTGTGCTGCACATTGTAAAGTGAGTATTCAGGGTGTTCGAGGTTGCTCAGAGGTTAAGGCGCAAGCCGAAAAGTCCGTGGTTCTAACCCAAACCCTCCTATCTCGACGGCTCCTGTCTAGGCTTGGGTAACCTGGCAGTACCTCAGCCCTTATGCTTCCTTCGGAAAACATGACAACTGGGCACCAAAAAAGCATTACAGCGGAACGATTGTTATTCTTTCTTACCCAAAGAGAACGCAGTTGGTGGAGTGGAAACAGCGAAACAACGACGAAGAGAGTGTAACAGTATTAACAATCCATTAACAACGGAAACTATGTGTTGCTATAAATGCTCCAGTGAGCGCATGCTACGACAGCTAGAAACATTAACACTACAACATGGTTATTGTGCACGTGCGGAGTAATGAGTCTCGAAGGAATCAACAACAAGCAAGCAAAAACCCAAAAACGTGCACGTAAAAGAGTGTACGTCACGCGACGGACGAGTGTTAGAACTGCTTACGAATATCAGTGGTTCGTAGAGTAAGTCAAACTGCCACAAAGAAAAACAAAGTATTACATCAGCGTAAACAAAAAAGACATTTGATTCTCAGTGAAACATAAATAGTCAATAGAGTCAAGTAAATCAATAAAGTACGACTGCACCCATGAGTAGAATGTAGAACTTATGACTGGACGTATTTCATAGTGTGCGAAATACCCAGGGTCGTATATGAAACACCTTTTAAGAGCGACAAAAACCGAACTCTCATGGCATAAACAAAAATGAGAGAACAGAGTTAGGATGTAAATTTCGTTTTCTGTAACTGTAATAAGGCTACCACATCGCATGCTTTTGTGGAAGCAATCGGTTTTGGATGTATGGTAAGTTGCAACCAATGAAAAGGTAGTAAAAAGGTTTCGTCATACTCCACGTTCCGAAGGAATGAGATTGGCCGATTACGAGGCGAAAGGAAGTCTTGGTCTTGAAAGCGGTGTATTTCGGACAGATGCTGATGAAGGACAAATGGTTTGACAGACTAGGAACAGTCAAACCAGGCAACTTCGAGAACTTTGAAAAATCGACCTTTTTTGAAGCAAATAGCTTGGATGAACCATAACACAACACGAAATGATCGGGGCTATTCTATGGTTCAAGGTTACAGATAAGTTGTTCTCTGTAAGGCGCGCACATTCTTGAAATGGTAGGGCAGACAGTTTGAAAGAAAGCCGGAAAGTTAGGAACGTCTAAATTGTTTATGCTTTCAGGGATGTCCGGAAATAGCTCGACAAAGTCTTGCAAAAGGGAAGACAATACTCGTTGTTCCGCTTAACTACTAACGACGGAAACTATTGGCATAAATTGGTGGATCTCCTTCAAGTATTACATTAGTATGAATAGAAAATGTCCACTCCAGCCGTGAGAAGTAAAACATGCAGAAGTTAGTGACAGGGTTGAGTGGACAGACAGTTACGAGGTAAAATAGGGTTACGTAGTTGGAATGTGGGGGACACACTAGTTCAGCAACTTTTATACACATAGCGTTGCGTAGCGTGATTCGCAACGAAAAGCTTGCAATGCATTCACAAAGCTCGGTGGAAAAGCCAACCACCAAGTAGAAATCCCAAGCTATCCATGTTCCGCAACACGGCCAATGCCAACTCTTTCGCAGTTGCGGAGACAACTAGATTGGCAAAACAGACCGGCTTGTCAGAGCGCATGGCTGAACAAACATGGCGGTAGGTTCCTACAGTAGGAGCGCAACCAATTACAGAGGCTCGTGGGTCAAATGATGACTCGGCTGCTTCAGTTACTAAGGGCCTTCTGGAAACGCGCAAACCGAAATCCACAGTTGTTGTCCCTCAAAGAGATCTTACTCCTCTGGGAGCCAGCAGTGTATTCAAAAAACGTGTTGAAACGGTCCACTGGGTTTGCGCCATCGTTGTCTTTAGCAGTTCGTTCAACCCTAACGCTAAAGCACTACCGTATATAGGCTGAGAGAGAGAGAGAGCGAAGCGAAAGTTCATATCTCACTAAACACGTGTTCTCTTTATAACGGTGCAACAAAATAGCAGGTCATCTCAAGAGCGGCGAATGATTATGATCGTAATTTTGGATTAAAACTCGAGACGGCATCGATAGATCTGTCAAACCTTGGTACGTTTTGTTAAAGACTGACGCCTCTCAAGACGGGACAAAAAATTCGAATGCAAATGTGCACCACTTGTATGGATACTATTAATAAGAAGCTCCGAGGATGCCATATGCTATCTACTTCAAGTTACATGAGGTGAATGAATGATGAAAATGTGGTGTGTAAAAACCGAAGCATAGGTTTCATGCGGCAACAGCAGACCTGTCCAATACCGACTGAGGCAAAATGAATGTTCATTGTGACAACAGTGAAATGCGGACGTGTGTACAATGGTTGAAGTCACCGCATGAGGTTTAGCGGCTAACAAAGGATGTAAGAGGATCATGAGTGCAGAAAATAAATAAAAGGAATAGTGGGTCAAGACCCTTACAGCTCTTGGACCACTTCTGTGGAGACGGTAGTGCGCTGGCCGTTATGCAGGCCACCCTCGGCCAGTTAAATTGTGCTTCGATGTGTTTCGAGGCGGACAAGAAGACTTTGGACCAACTTTTGAATCGTCTTTTTTGTGCTGACTTTAGTGGCCGGTAGGTTTGTTTCGCGTTCACGGTTTTTTTTCAGATAGCTGCTGCTGATAACTGTGCACTACAGGCAGTGGACATAATTTTGCGGAATGGTTTTCGGATTGGTTGTCGAGGAAACGAGCTGTAACTCGAACATGACCCAAGTTGGTACACAAGTTCCAAAAGCAGAGTTGCCGTCTATAGCTAGACGCTACGTTGTCGACCTACGTGATCGATGGACATGCAGCACGGAATGCGCACGTTTGTGTCTGTGCTGAACAGAGTGCGGTCAGTGAATCGCTGGTGGATGGGATAACTGTGTTCGGTTTTGCAGCATTCATACCACACCAGCCACCGAGATGGCCTTCACGTAGGTCGATCGAATCACTCATCAGGATAGTGACGTCCCGATAATTTACCACCCACTGATGTCTAAGAAGTTCATCATCAATACTACAGCCCGTTGGGGAGTACGCAGAGGTGAGAAGTAGATTTTCGAGTTCTTGGTCAGTGGGTGAAAAATGACAGACCCGGACATGCTCAATGGGTACAGTTCGTAGGGGCCTAAGGAGAGCGTCTTAAGATCTCCTAATCACCTGAGACCATGGAAGGCTGATAGTGGATCACGAAATACCCGGGGAGTAGAGCATTCGAAGTCACGCTACGCTGAAAGAGCAGACGCCAAAAAGGGTGGATGGAACATGATACCGTCTGCAAACGAAAAACTGAGTGAAGAAGAACCGACCATTCGGTCCTGATGCATAGAAGTAACGATTTCAAGCGAACTAAAAAAACTCACATCAGTCTTTCCTGCGGTGGAAACAGAAGTTGAGGCCAAACTGATAGAGTCCAACAAGTTCTCCTCGTCCAAACGATTCGAGTAGGCCCCATCTGCATATGAATCAACGCCAAATTCAACACCAGCGCTGGATCCAACTATTTTTCATGAGGTAGAGATATAAATTAGTGGAGGTAAATTAGTAGCGGCTTTTAGGACAACAGTTGAAGAAGCAATAGTTTTGAGAAATTTTAACGATTTTAGGCGGAAAGAGAATTGTTGCGGTCTGCATACTATCTCGCTTACAAGACAACTACACACTAACTACAGCCTTCCAAATAAAAACCGTAAGGTTAATGGTAGCAAACAGCAAACTGATCTGTGTGCATTGTCATGACGGATGGAACCTACTTAACAAGTTCCCTACGACAGTCTTGACAACAATTCAGGGTATATACAGCATTGCATGGGCAACGAATATCTGCTCGGTACGACGAATAAAAATTGCGACAGTTCATTCAGCTTTTGACCTAGGCAGTTGACTGAAAGGGGGTCAGTCGAAATGGAAATTACTCTTTTACAGTGCTCTGCGGTGACACGCTAAATTCACTGCTTAGCTCCTGTGAGTGAATACTCCACTGGATGCCTGACGCGACATTAGGGTTTCGCACAGTTTGGCAAAAAAGAGCACTCCTCATCTAACGGGTAGAGTGCCTACGTTCAAAGGAGGCGTTCTAACCTCAGAAGCCCGGCCGGCTTCTGAGCGCAATCAGAAGCACACTACTCACTCAGCGCCCGTTTGTGGAAGAAAGAGACAGTTACACTGCACAAATTACCTAGATGAGCTTGGTGGTTCAGTTGATGAGGTGTATTCCTAATCGGTTCACACGGATATCATCCATCTGCATAATCAATGGTGGTGACAGTAGATTCGCTGGAGATAAAGGGGGAGTGAGAAATCCTCTCCCTCTGATCAAATCGAAAAAACAGCACAGCCAAGACGTTTGGCTCTTACCTGCCTGGTCTTTTTCAATCAAATAAAACCAGTAAGTGTGATGTTCTTCAAGGGGATATGTAACATAAAGGATGACTCAGAGTTCAGTTAGAGTTCAGTTAGTTTTCCACCGTGACCTGCGCGGAATATATAGGACCCAATGTTCTAGGACAAACACAATCTAGGTGATGAGTAGTTATCATCAGTCAATAATGGTCGTGCCTCGAAGAATCGTGTCGTGTCGAAGAATCATTTCAAGCGGGTTTTTAGTACTCCTCAAAAATGCAATGGCTCCCTCATGAGATAATGAGACATGTGGTCCCATGGGACATTTCTTGTTGGGAGGAGGCTACTGTACATAAAATAGCAATCGGGGTGTAAGAGTGCACAAAGCAGAAGCTCCTGAACTCGCGCATACATGTGAATCCATGCGACAGATGCAAAGTGAATAGTCTCACCTGCAGATTGTTGCATCTGTTTGAAATAGGAATACCATTGCCGCAGAACCCAAATTCGGATATTCCGATCATATCCAGCCGTGGCCTGTAGAACAGAGGAACACGTGTCAATCCCAACCAACCAAGAGCAACAGGCGTAGCCGGGAGGGATCAATGCTGGACGCATCCAGAGCAGTGAGAGTTGCATTTGCTATGCTATCCACAAGAACTAAGGGCACAGTACACTTGGGATACACCAGATACCTCAAATAAAGCCAGATATTTGTCCACATACGTGTGTCAGCTGTTATGATTGGTATATAATATCCTGGTCTTAGTGCGGGTAGTGAACTCTGGAACAGTTGTTGCAGACAGAGAAATGACTAGGAATCAGAGTAACTTAAAAATTTGTCTAAGTTTTTGTCGGAGAGTACACTCCTTAGGTATCAGCTGTTTAAAGACGAAGGCATTCTAACCAGGATGCACCGCGTAACACAAGTTTCAAGTAGATAACCTGGTACGAGTACAGAGACCGAGAAGACTATCTGTTGCATCGACAATCGAGACCTACCTGGTCTGATGATCCCAGACCACGCCTACTCTCGCTTGTGGAAAAATACGAACGTAAGCGTGGAATTGCATGGGAACGAATGACAACTATATATCAGCGTACCAGAACTTTAACCAGGGATTGTTCATGGCCGTTAATACACGAATCAGGATATTCATAGCAAAACGGTGGAGTTCAACTCCACTGGACCAGTACAAGTACTGCAGATTGTAGGCAACTAAAAGAGACCCGGTGCTCCCTGGCGAAAGGGAGTGTGACCTCGTGCATTCAAAGGGAGATATTCTCGTAGAACCAATGCATATTTTCGATCGCAATCACCGGATTAAAATAATACCTTCAAAACCCACTCTTGAGAACAGTCGTAATTTCTGTTTCGACACCCCCTTTTCCGGTTCAATGGCCAATCTCACGTACGGAAAAATGTCAGTAGATGTTTATTGCGATGATAGAACGTAGCGAAACGAGATATCGCCAAATAAATTGGGCACGAACAATCCCGTCAGGGTGTCGTCTTTGCTTATTTTCATTTGTTTGTGCTATCGCTCTGGCATTCGGGTTTACACAACCCCATTCCGAAAACGGTCCCGATTTTACGGTGGTTGCTTTCAGTCAAGGCGCGGCACATGATAACAGTTCACACGCGTCAGATAGCTGGGAGAACACAAGATAGTACTCACTTTGCAGAGGTGGATAGTAGAAACCAATGAGAAACGAGTATCCTAGGTGACTGATTCAAGGCACCTGGACGCAGTACTGCCATTGGACGCAGGAGTGAATCAGTGCTTCTGGGTAGTGCAGTAGTAGCCGTTCAGATGTGGCTAGCTGCTATGCCACCCGAAGGAAGCACGAGGGCCGAGATACTGTCAGGCTACCCAGGCATAGACAGAGCAGTCGAGATGTGAATATCGGGTTCTAACCGCAGATCTTCAGATCAGTAAGTTCACTCCTTAACCACTGAGCCATCCGGGCTAAATTAGTCACGGTTAAGAGTGTGGCTGATGTTACAGGTAGGCAGTTGGAATTGTAAGGAAATAACTCTCTATAATGACCTCGAAAAAGGAGCATGATTTAGATGAGGTCGTTACGCAGAAAGGGAATTGCATTACTGTCACATAGTACGAATGTCAGAAATAGTGAACACAAGCCAAGGTAAGTCACACCAGCCTGTAATACATGATTAAATGGAACGACAACGTACCAGAAGACGACCGCAAGGCGAGAATCGCATAGCCCATACAGCACCCTGTTGGGAGGCGAACACAAGATGACGTAGTGTTAGAAAACACGGAGTGGTGTCACGCGTATGAAAAAAGTCGATCAACTTACTGTGTGTTCGTTCTTCATTTCTTGGATAAGTTTGATTTGCATGAATTCGCGTCGCCCTCTCGCTTGTCGTGAAGATCGAAGCTACATATGATGTATGAAAGATTAATCGATGAGCGGGACATGTGTGCGTAATGGCGAGTGAAACAAGGATGATCGCGAGGCACATATAATCCAACAGAGCCATACACTGCAGTCTGGCCTTCGGTTTCGCTTTCGCCTGACATCAAACTGAACAAATCAACCCACATACAGGAAGGCAATGCCTTACGAGTAAACGCAACGACCTGGACGCTTCATGTGTAAACCCGAGAGAATAGGACCACAGGGTGAACAACAGGGAACTGGTTCTAAGAACCACCAGAAGATTAAATTGATTATCTATTGTTTTAAAACCAGATAAGAATAAACTATCTACACTGGACTGAACTCAACTAACTTAACTCCTAGTGTATGTAGGGTCGACGCGCATCACTCTTGAGAGCAGTCAATGCACGAGAAGTTGGTAATATCCAACATTTTGTCCTGTACTACGGTAGGGTCGCAGAAAATCACCGTTGTGGTTTAACACTCTGGAATATCTAGAACGTCGGGGGTGATAACTGCCAGACCCGAAAGGAAGCGAATTACCGGTTGAGCCTATTCACACCCAGTACACTGTTGGCCTACATTACCAATAAGCGTTCAGCAGTTAACCATCGGGGCGAGATGGCGCAGTGGTTACAGCGTGAATTTACTGACCGGAAGGCCCGTGGTTTTAACCCAACCTCTGCCTCTCGACTTCCCCTGTCAAGGCATGGGCAACCTAGCAGTATCCCAGCCCTAGTGCTTCATTCTGGTAGCATGGCAGCTAGGCACCGATTATCTTATTCTTTTTATTATTAGTTAGCCATAGTTTGATCTGTTTGGTCTGTTCTTCATTCTGTCGCATGGCAGCTAGGCCCCGATTATCTTATTCTTTTTATTATTAGTTAGCCATAGTTTGATCTGTTTGGTCTGTTTGACCTACGAAACGATAGTCTTGGAAACTGACATCCAGGACCGTCAAATGTCCGATATCTCTACATGTCTAAGGGAGGTCCGATAAAGTTATTGCAAACGCCAACGGATCTGTATTCATCAATAAATAGGAGGACCAGCGCAATTGCTCCCACGTTTGAGACGAACCCAAATAGACTCATCACCAGGTCCCGCATGCCCTAGCGTCAAGCACTCCTCAGCACTCTGTAGCAAAGTTCTCGACGATTAAACTGACGTGCACAAACTCTACCGCCCTAACACTGCCCTGTCGTAGATTTCGACCTCCTAATTCATGACATCGATGTTGATGGATTCAAACGTCAACCACAGTGACCGGATATCGCTGTTGCTGTCAGCCAAAGCTCCGTTTCTTCTTATTCAGTTGGCTGTAGGGCCGTAACTGGGGAAGCAGTGAGCAGCTAGTTCTCTCTTACTGTGATTCATCATCAACTGTGCGCATATGAGTTCGAAACATGGAGCAACGGATCCTCTATGAATACAAAGCCAGAGGTTCAACCCATTTAGTAATCACTACCCCCCCCCCCCAAACATTCATCTCTCCACTGATCAAATATCTATGAAGAGATAATTCCCAGTAATGGTGTGAAATCTTTCGGACGTTTGCCAGTTGAAATTATGGCGACCGTCATCGGTCTAAACACAAAAGAGCGAACGTGTAGTTCACAAGGTTGCTTACTGGCTTGTCACTCTAATGGCATCTTAGGATATGTTAAAGATGACGCTTGTGAACTCAGAATTGAGCAAATACGACTTTCCAAGATCAAAAGATTTGCAGCACAAAACTAAAGGGATCACAACAATCAGTATGGTTAGATCAAAACTAAGCGACCGGAGAGAGAGAGAGGTAGGTGGAATCATACCGTATCGTAAGAAAAGCAAGATAGACAATAAAACAACATTCGGTTTAACGTACGCGTATTCCTTGATTCCCAATCACCTCTTCATCTTCGTCCGAGGTTTCTTCATCTTGGTTGAAAACTGCATCAGATAACAATACAACATAGACAGGGAAATGACGAGAAAAGTGCGTCACAATTTCAACTTTTTGGACTAAAAAAGCTATCGAGATATCTTCCATTGGAAGCTGGGAAGGTCACAACGCTTTGTGTGAATCCGAACTAATGGGAAAGGGTTCATAAAAAGCATTGAACAAACAAACAAGGGAAAATCCAAATCACCAAATGCGCCTATTCGGCTTGGGTGAAAGTGGGACCAAGCTGGCTGGATGGAGGACATTTTATGTGGGTTGATAGGGGTGCCGGACGTCTCTCGCTGAATATATCATGGAGCATCAAATCCCAGCTCACACTTTTACTCCCAAAAGATTTTCCGGCAACAGAAACCGTTTCAAGTCCGACCAGTGAACCGAACGAGGTGATAGAACTGGAGAACGTGAAGGCTGGTGGAGTAAAGTGGGAGAGTGATGCCAAGATCATGGTCGAACAGGTGATCAGACTCCCCATGCTATTTTCTGACCGTAATTGGTTGTGCACAGGAGTGCATCTTAAAATAAGAGGCCTAGGTCCCATCATCTAGTAAGAGTCGTGGCATGAAGCCTATTCATTAGTCCGGAGATGGTCGCGGTAGAGTCATCTGACCTCTACAGGCTAGTCAGTGTATCAGCAAATCAGATATCGACGAATGCCACGATCCCGCTAGTCTTCCATTACTTTTCAATATACTTTTCCTGGAAGAGGCTGGTTACTTGGTACCTATATTCCACAATGCTCACTTACTGGACCAGTCATTTGCCAGAAAGCTGGGCCCTGAGTAGGTTCACTAGTCCGTCTGAGACTAGCTGAAATGATGAGTAAAGTTGAGTAATGAAACTCAAACTCAATGATTGACAGTATTCAGATTTACTGCCGATATGTAGGTGACATATTTGTCCCTTGAATCAATTCGGTTCACCACATTCAGGGTCAGTTTGTTACCCGAAAGACATCAGATCAATACTTTTCAGGATTTTAAGCTGCAGAGGCTAGTTAGAATGAAGAAATTCGCGGTCTGTTGAAAAGTAACTGGGCTATAGCAAACAGTTATGAGTAAATGCTTTCAAGCTCGACTCCTATGTTGTCTACGCTTTTACCGTTACCAGACGAGTCCATCCTTTCACTCAAGGGAGGACAATTCGACGACGGCAATGGAATGTTTGAGGACTTGTCACATACCGTCACTCAGAACAACTGTCATACTTTTCCCCTCAGCTAGCTGTGGTTGATACTTATTTCACCCGCGGCTCAGACTTCTTAGAAATACGTCCTCGTTTGATAAGTGGCGCAATGGGAATCTTCACGACAAAATACGAAGGTTATAAGTTAAAAACCCTGGATCGGGCGATAACCTCTTACTTGGTGATAACAGTTTATCCATTGAACATGGTGTTACCAGGCTTTGCAGGACTCGGCTTCTTCAACATTCGCCATGTGCTGAAAGTATGTTAGGCCAATATCAGGGTGTGCTAGCTCTTCCCAGAAAAGACCTTTGGGTGATAATACGAGGCCGTGTATGGCTCTGCATGAACTGCACTCTAAGGAGACGGGAACTATACACAGCCCCGTGTTTGTCGAGCTGAGCTAGAGGGCTTAGAGATAGACTACGTACGCACATCCATATTCACTGACAAAATAGAGCAGTTGTAGATCAGATCACGCAAAGATCACACTTTCATCCAGTCTATCACAGCTAGCCACTTGTAGCTTGTTCGCCTCACCAGATGAGACAGTGAACGGTCACGCAGTGCTGCAATTGGAAACTTCTGTTGTTCAAATGGATATGTTAGGGATAGATGGGTAAAGTACGGCTGAACGATGAAATTACCCAGTCTTGGTGGTATTGTTAAGACCATTATCCATCGTAGGGTTCACGTGGCTCAGTCTCTACTTGATGTGGGTGATGTGGCCAATTAACCCTATAATTCCGGTTCACCAGCAGTGCATCTGCTTGGTCGTGTCGCGGTTTTAACTCTGGATATCCGACATATCAGGCGAGCGTGTTACCACTAATCCACCGGCGCACATTGAACGCGTCTGAACAGACGGAAATGGATGTGTGCTATCAAGCACCCGTGCTCGACAAGTTAGCATCAAAAAACTTGCCGAACGTTTTTATATCCGGATTATATTCCTTTTACTTGGGAAATCACTCGCAGAAAAGGCTGCTTTTTGGTAGGAACTTTCGAATATTCCTCAGTGAAGGGAAAGGGTGGAAAACGTAATACCTGAATGAGACTTGAACCAGACACGCAGCGACTGCTAAAAAGATCTGAACCAGCACATAGTCGACAGGCCGGATGACGAGCAGACAGAATGAGAAATCCAACACCGCAATGAACAACAATTTCCTCATGAAGACATATTCGAACCGCTTGGCATTTGACTAGGACCGATGACTAATCTCGCGATTGGGGCTACTTCGGAACTTCCGATGACATGCGAAAGTCCTACCACAAAACCTCCATACGGTTTTTATCAGTCACGAGTGATTATTAAGAAAACTATGACAGCGCAAACCATTGTACACAGGGTCTGTAGCTGATGATAGTGAAGCAGTTTACAGTTAATGATTTGCCATAACCTCGTACACTACAAAGTGGCAGTGTTTGCAGACTTGGCAGTTATAATACCACACTGCACAAGATAAACAGTGACACCGTCCTCTCGAACTGAACCATGAGTGTATCTATTTAAACGTGCGATCGCCCGATTTCAATCCGATGATGTGCAATACCAGACTGGCATGATCAGCCAGGGATGGACAACAGACGTTTGGAAAGCTACAATATTCCGCATCGCTAACTAACCGAGACTGCTCAGTAGTCAACTGGGTTTGTATATTTGGGAGAAGGCGCAAGTATTCTGGGATGAACTGACCAAAGTCATCCCGTCCTTTGGTATGCACTTTGCACCCACAAAGTGTAAAGTCATGCTTGTGGACGTCCAGTCACTGAACACGCCACTTACAATCCAGGGAGGGGCACTTGAAGTTGTAGAGCGTTTTACGTATCTTGGAATTTGTATTAGTTCTGACTGTAGTGTGGCAGATGAGGTGAATCCACGAATCTGCAAGGCTCGGGCCGCGTTTGCTAACTTGAGACACCTATGGCGTCAGAATGGTTTATCCCTGAATCTGAAGGGACGTGTGTATCAAGCTACAGTACGGGCTGTTTTGTTGTATGGCTGTGAGACTTGGCCTATTCGAGCAGCGGACCTGAGACGTCTTCAGGTTTTCGACAATCGTTGTCTCAGAACTATAGCTCGTGTGGGTTGGTGTCGGCGAACCCGCAACAAGGCAGTTAGAAAGCGTGTTTTCGGTTGTGTAACGGGTACTTCCATTGAAGAATGTGTCCAGCACCAGAAGCTGCGTTGGTTGGGACATGTTTTACGCATGCCGAACCATCGTTTGCCGAAGAGAGTACTGTTTTCCATGCCCAATTCGGAGTGGCGTAAACAGAGAGGTGGCCAACCCATGACCTGGCAGAGGAGTATGAAGGAGATCACGAAACGCTTGGGTGCTGTCGGTGCTACTCGCCTTCCAGGATGGGGACCGCGTGATCCTCACTGTGCCTGGTTGGAGACACTACAAGATATGGCTGCCAACCGATGTCAGTGGCGTTCCTGTTGTCAGTTTCTATCCAGATTGCCTGAGTGAATGTCTGGAGGTGTAGGCACCTCGGAATGATTGTGTTAAGCTACCACTAAGTCCCTCCCCCATCCACCTTTATTCTTTTCTTTACAATAAGGCTTTCAAATAAGTCATGGTTGCACGGCAGTGAAGCATCGGTGTTGAACACTGATGTCATGCTGTTGATGATGATGATAATATTTGAGAGACAAACTCACTTTTAGCCCGAGTTGCCGATTTGACGACGCTCATTGCTCCACGCAGGTATTTTTGGAACCGAGATATCCGTCTGAAAACAGGTACAAAATGGTTAGTTAGAGGAACGGCTGAAACATTAAAAGTGGACGAAAGCGGTGGAAACAGTAGACCTATACATGGGCAATTTACTAGAAACTGATTTGGGTGTATCGCAGACTTTAGCTCTGACCAACCACCAGGCTAGCAATAATTTTGACACTAGCAACTTCGAGATTATTACGGAAAAAGTGTGCTCGGACTACTTGAATAAGGTAATCAAAACGCATACTGACATTGTTGTCAACGCTTTTAGAATAGAAAAAACATGCAGTTTGTGCCCTTGACTGCATTTAGAGTCACGCCCGCATTTTGCTTGGCTTTGACTGAAGGTACCTTCGATACTCAATTTTCTCGCTTAATTGTACCCAAGGAAGCTCAGAATTTTGTGGTTACCTGCCTGGAGGTTCTGAAAGCTCGTAAACTACAAAGATAAAAACGAACTAAATAGATCTGATTTCTCCAGTCTATGCAGAGGCAAACTGACAATACCAGAGAGGAGCTGCGGAGGCTCATACTGGTATGAAAAAGTGGAGTTAGGGAAATATTTGTTTGAAAAAACTTGCGCACTGATGAGTATTGTGAAAATAATCCTGTCAAGGGGTATTTTAGGTCTGCAATCCATAAATTAGCAGTTTAGAGGGATGAGAGGCATGCATTACGCTGCTTACAGCCATCGAGATTTCCAGCGTTATTACCTTCATTTAACGAAACTTAACCAGCGCGAAAAACAGGCCGAAAGGTTCATGGACAGACTGTGTTTGAACATGTGCTCAGCGGGCTTTTTCGTCCAGATCTGGTGATAACTATTAGCGACAGAGTAAGGACTTCTGAAACAGTTAGTGCCTTTGCAAACGAAGTGACATTGGTGAGGGTTTCATAACAGGGAGATTATGGGCCAGCTTCTAGGGAAATGGGACAGTACTTGTGAGAAAGGATACATCGAACAGGCGATTCATCAAAAGGTCGATTCGGGCACACGCTACAGAAGCAGACCATCAGGGAAGAAAAATCCAGAAATAACGTATCGTTGGCGCCAAAATGATGGACGATTTGGATAATGGTAAGCGCGCACAGCAGAAATATATGTTAGAATTCCGATAAAGTGAACTATCGAAATACCGGCTTGCTCTTGAGGAAGGAACATGAAGACACCATGAGAATCGGAAATGTGAGGATAGAAAAGCGCAAAATCTACGATTAATCGCATTGGCCAGGTTTCCTAAGGAACGGCTTCTGGTGCTCTGGCTAAAAGTGATTTATCCTTCAGGTCAGGGTAACTTCAGTCGGGTCAACCTGATGACAGCTGTCTCACCAATGTTATATTTTCCTATGCTCTATGACACTTCATAGTTCCATATGGTTCAGAAACCTTATCAAGGCAGTGATTAAGTTTCTGTGTCTCCAAAGAACTGCTCGCCCATAGTAGGAATACCGGTCTAGCAGAGAGAAGCCTTATTCAGCGCTCTTTGAGATCAGCTGGTGACATTTCATAGATCCTGCGGGCTTAGTTCATAATCATCATCAACGACAGCATGACATCAGTCACAACCGAAACACGCTTTCTAACTACCTCGTTACGGATTCGCCGACACCAACCGACGCGAGCTATGGTTCTGAGACAACGATTGTCGAAAAACTGAAGACGTCTCAGGTCCGCTGCTCGAATAGGCCAAGTCTCACAGCCCGTACTGTAGCTTGACACACACGTCCCTTCAGATTCAGGGATAAACCATTCTGACGCCATAGGTGTCTCAAGTTAGCAAACGCGGCCCGAGCCTTGCAGATTCGT